GGTCCATTATTTGTCAGGTGATTTTAATAACTACATAAGATATCTCACATTTATTTCATTCATTGAATGAAAGAACACAATAGCCTAATTTTTATCTTATGGGAAAAACAACAAGCTAGAATTCAAGAGTTTACCTCTCTGGTCTTTCATGACTACCCAGGAGCTTGATCACTTCCCTTCATCTCTTTTTATCTTAGGTTTCTTTTCCTGAAGATGAATGATCTTCAAGGACTGCAGCTCTTATTATTATGCACTGGTGTTATTACTTTGTGCTATTGCCCAGTGTCATAGGATGATTTACTTAGCAGATAGCGTGCATGAAAAAAATTAATCATTTTCTTTTTTAACATGACAAAGACAGAACTGTGGGTTACTTTCCATAATTTATATCATCATTCAATCCTTTCCTCTTTGTGGTAGCAGGATTAATGTTAGGGCCCATGCTATTCTATTTGTCTGAAGCAGCTTACTTCAGGGTTTTTCTTTCTGTTACTGAGCTATTCTAAACTCATGAATCCCTTTTGATGTCAAAAAGCTATGCAAGGTGTGTAGGAGTGCTCACCAGCCCCATTTAAGGGAAATTTTTTGTTGTTTCTGAGCAGATTAGAGAAGGCTGAGAGCTCCAAGTTAAGCTTGTGACTGGGCATCACATTTTCCTAGAATTATCTCTTTGTATTTGAGAGGTAAAAATCCATACACCCATTTAGCAAACGTCTGAAAAATAAACTGTCTGATAAAATATCAAATACAGTGTTTCTCAATTAAGCCTAGAATGTATCAGGAGAAAGCACAACACTTTAATTTATTGAGAATGTTTCACTCAGCCACACTGAATCTGTATTATGCTTTATCTCAGCTCTAGGCATTATTAAGGCAGAGAACAAATGGAAGAAGGAAGAGAAAGGCCTCAGGGAAAGCAAACAAATGTAGGTTAACACAAAAAACTGAACTGATAAATGAGTAAAACTCAGAGATGGCCAAAAAAGAAAAGTGGAATTATTTTAAAAGTGCAACCAAAATCAAAGAAAGAGAAGCAACCTTAGACAGTTTCCTTAAGAGTGGAACTCTTACTCTCCATGCTTTTGTCTCTACAAGAATTGCTAGAAAAAAGGAGGACTATCTTTGACTTGTGGGAGATGGAAATTGTTAATGGGTCAGCACTGGCAAAATCACTGGGGGCCTTTTGCCGACTATAGCAAACTGCAAAGGAGCAGCTGTTCATCTATGACCACCAAAGCCCACCCCTCCCCAAATACACCTACTAACTGGAATTTGGATTCTGACTGGAGCTTAAGATGAAGGGGGTGCTATTGTCCAACCATTCTAGGGGGATGGCTGGGGAGAAGAATGCATCCACAAGTTATACTGGAAGAGAGACCGGAATGCTAAAGTCTCAAACATTCAGGGGGCAATCTGCTGATGTGAAAAGTACCCACCCAAGTGCAGAGGGCTGCCTGGGCAGTGTCAGGGACACTCACATGAGCCTGAAGGAAGCTCATCTCTGCTGATGGCCATTGAGCTAAACTGCACTGGCACAATAGGCCAGCTGTAACAACAGTGAACCTGAGTATATAAAACTCATGAAATCTTTTGAGTTTTGTGGACTTTGCCCACCCCCGATGGACCAACATCTTCAATTCAGACAACACACATCAAAATTATATGAAGTCTCATTTCTGGAGCCAGCAAGGGGGGTTGACTATAAATCTTTCCTTATTTGCCCTTTTTCTCTCTTTCTTTTCCTTAGACATTTTTAAGTGCTATTTTTATACTTTTACATTGCAATTTTTCTGCAGATAATAAGAACTAAACTGGCTACAATTGGCTGTTTGTCTTTCCAACTAAATTGTTTGAAAAGAAACTGTGTGCATATATATACACACATATGTTTACAGACACTGACTATTCAGTGTCGTTTCACTCTAATCTGCCCCAAGGTATTTATTAAAAGAACACGGGTTACCCTTGTCTTCTACAGCAGGATGTAATATAAACTTGATATATAATTTATACATAATCTCAGATGAGATTGATTCCCGTTTGGGGAATATTTTTTGGATCAACTGCAGCTACATGCTTACACAGAACAGATAAACTGCACAGAAAATAGCACAAGACAGGGACTGAACAGTGCTTGCTGCCGCATTAGCTGTAACCAAAAGTCTCCAGATCTGCCATTTCAACAGCACATTTTTTATTTGTATAAGAAAGAAGCATCTGACTTGCAGTTTTTCTTTTGAAGAGAGGCACTAATTCAGTTTGAAAGATCAGTCTCCAGCATGTAGTTTAGAAGAGTTTTTGTATTGCACTGCACTGCATGGTAACAGATGGAGATGGAAATTTTTTTTAACACTACATACATTTTTTGCTTAGAGAATTTAATTCATTGGGTTAGCCAAGTCTATATATTTCTAAAAGCAATTCCAACAGAGGGCAGTACTCCAAATGAACTACCCTATTGTAATAAACCGGCATTCCCAGAGAGAGTTAGGAACAGACTGTTTCCATATTCTTTGTGAAATATCAACAAGTCCTGAGGTCACAGGTTACAGAATCACCTAATATAGGCATGTAAGCAATGAAAATAGCATAGCATAGATAATACCCTGTTATGGATTTTGTGTTTCCTCAGAAACACAAATAACTGCAGGAAATTTGCTCAGAAAAAGTTAAGAAAAATCATCAGCTATTAATGAATATAGCCTCAAAGACTTGATTAATAACGTTAAATGTAGTATCAAATAAAAGCAAAATTAAATGCCAAAAACTCCTATGTTCATTAATTTTATTTTCATTAATTTAATTTTTCAATAAGAGATTTTAAATAAGACTTGACTGACAGTGGGAGTAACATAAAAAAATAAAGGGATATTTGCCTGTCTTGTCTGGTTGAGTCTCCCAAGACAAACACAGCTGCTGTTGTTGTGCATTACTTTTCTTTCTTAGGTAAGGATTTTACTGTCTCAGCTATGCAACACAAAGCTGAGACAATACATTTTTTTAGGAAGAATGCTACCTTATTATGTCCACATTTATCAATGAGTTATTCACTATAAAGCCTATCTAGTGTTCAAATTCACCTGAACATTTGCACTGTAGTAACCTTAATACAAGGCTGTAATTTAAATAATTTTATCAACTGTGACTGTTATCATCTATTCACAAACCTGGAGCACAGGCTACACTCCCACTTTTCCAAATGAGAAGCTTAAATGAGATGACAGACAAAGTGGCAGTCTCCCTCTGTACAAACACACATTACAAGCTTCTGCTTGACTGGAACACTTCTGAAGCAAAGTTTTGTCAGCAACCACCAATTTCTTGAACTGAAAGCACTTTGCAAAAATCACCAGTCTTAATTACATTTCATGTGTTTTGTCCAGTCAGCTATGGCACACAGAGTCACAGTCTGTTGGAAGTTGCTGTTTTTCCTATCAAATCCTTTGCCTGGGACTTCAGGAGTGTTGTCTGCAAGTCAGTCTAAATGTAGGACATCGCCAACAACCTGCCATTTCCCTGAGCTTCTTAAACTGCAGGGTCTTCCTGTTTGTCTTTCACACAGGTTAGGAGTAGCCCACTGGATGAAGACAGGATTACTCTTGGAACTACATGAACAGCCTCCAGTTAGACAAGGCCAGCATAGGTCTGAAAGATGGATTTTGCAGGACTTGGCTGTAATTGCCATATCTTATTTTCTATAGGTGACTACAGCATTCAAAATGGAGAGGTCTGCAATATTCACCCTTCTTTTTCAACATATCATGACACTTTTTTTCATGCATAAGATTACAATGGTTTAGTTTGGGTTTTTTGCTTTTTTTTCTTAAATAAGTGTCACAGAATCATAGAGTGGCCTGGATTGGGATGGATCTTAAAGATTATATCATTTCAACCTCCCCTGCCATGGGCAGAGACACCTTCGACTAGACCTGGCTGTTCAAAGCCCCATCCAACCTGGCCTTGGACACTTGCAGAGACGGGCATTCACAACTTCTCAGAGGAATCTGTTCCTGTGCCTTACCACACTCACAGTAAAGAATACCTTCCTAATGTCTAATCTAAATCTACCACCTTTCAGTTTGAAGCCATTTCCCCTTGTACTATACATGCCCTTGTTAATAGTACCACTCCAGTGTAAAGTACACCTCCATGATTTTTTCTAAGCTAACCTTTATTAATGAAAGTGAAAAAGCTTCATCAAAGACATCTCTTCTTCACACATGTTACTCATGCCTTCACTTTGGAGAGGAATATGCCCTTAGCTATGACAAATTCATACGGATAAAGGTTGACAGACTATACAATACAGAGAGTCATATGTGAAAAGAGAAGAAAAATTAGATATTGAATACTTGTTTCCATAACTTAGACTTCAACCTTGCATGTTATATTCCTTCCTCAAACATTGTCCTTCCTTCCCCCATTGTGAACTAACGTCCAGTTTGCCAAATGATCTCTGCAAAATTTGTAGTGAAGGCAACAGGACCCAGACCCTTCTGTGTGAAAACAGGTGCAGATTTCTACTTGCATATAGTGACCTTGTGTTTGTGTTGTTCAGAGCCCTTCCTGTGCAAGATGGAGGGCAAGCTCTTCACCTTTGTTATATGAGGGCATTACAATAATGTTTCTTGAACTTAAAAATTCAATGTCAAGCTTCTGAGGGCTTAAATGCAGAAAGGACTAGACTTCAGTGCTATTGAGAATGTAATGAAACAAATGTGATGGCATCAAATAAAGAGTTAAAGCTGCCAAATAAGTCATAAAGTTTGATAACTTCTTGCAACAATAACCTTTGTGGAAAAAGAACTCCTACAAAGCAAATAATTCCAACTGGAGGAAATGCTTTTAAGAAAACTGGAGGAAATGCTTTTAAGAAAATCGCTAATTTCTGTCTCAAAGATTAAACCTGAAGCTGCAACAGTAAACCTGTTTTACTTGAAAATGAGTGAATACAGTCACCATTTCCACCTCAAGGATCCTGGCCATTTGCTTTGACTTACCCGCTTATGAAGACGCTCTGCTTCCTCCTGATATGCAGCAAGTTGCTGTTTCCATTGTTTCACGTTGGCAGTGGACTCCAGCAGGGCTGCTGTGAGCTTAGCATTATTACCCTTGAGCGTGGCCAGTTCTGCCTCCCAATGCTTGCTGATTGTCGAACTGCACAGACAGAATGAGAATGGTCAGAACTCTCAAATCTCTTCCTTTATGCTTCTTAAATGTCTTATAAATTTTCTTTTAATATCCAGAAAAAAGAGAATTACACAAAAAATTATATAACGAACAATAACAGTATCTGCTTGGTATGTAATTATATACCAAATAAAACAACTAAATGAGAATCCAACTGCTCAAATCATCAAAACTATAAATTAAGAAAGTATAGGTAACACCATTATTGGAAAAAAAATCTACTTTTCCAATTCAACAGGGTGCATTTATAAATAAAATGTTAAAGATCATGAAACCCACATAAGTTTCACAAAAGCAACAGCATGAAATTCGAGAATATTAATATGATTAGTCACTCTTTTAATATATGCACATTGAATGGAAGTGCTTTTTTAATCCACACTTTATTAAATGCATTGTAGGAAAATATTTGTTATCAACTTGATTAAAGAGAGTTAATCATGTGCTTTGGAAGTGCAGCTTTGTTGTCCTAATGTAAGCCTTCCATTTCTGAAATATACTTTATTAAACACCATATTTAATTTGTTCTTGAAAATTCAAAGATCTTGAATTTCATAATATTGTTAATATTTTTTTCCTCACTAATATGAGCAAAGAGAGTAGAGATCAAGTAGGACGGATATACCACTGCTTTACTTCAAAGTGGAAGCTGATGTTGAAGTTAACTGAAGCACTCTATAGAGGAAAATTCCTGCTTACAATTTAGTTGCTGTCTTGGCAAATACAGGGTTTTAATTTTCACAGTAGTTAGTTTGCCATCATCTGCAGACCATATCTTTACACTCAGTATGCAAGGGAAAAGTATCTCAGACATATCAGGTGAATGCATTATATGCATTATATGCAAATAGCTCATTAACAAGTACTTGTATAATGCTAACAACATGTGAGTTGCACACCTACATGGACAGTACATGCAGAAAATAATTAACTTTGTTTCATTAGCTCACTATCAGAGGCATCAGTGAAAACTAAAAATCTATAACTCTGACCAAAATTATATCCTACAAAGAATTATTACATAATTACATATTTTAAATATATCTCTTAATATTATGAAATTAATTACTATTTTGAATGTAAGTTTACAGATTTATTTGACCTTTGTACACACAGATTTATTTGACCTTTGTATAATGAAATATTTTGCCATCATTTTGTCCACTTGGTTTCTTTCTTCCACTTCCTGCATATGCAAATTCCATCCCATCAAAGCATATTTCAAAAACATTGACTCCTATAAATGCTCCTTAGGTGTTCAAAATTAATCAGACGGTGGGGAACATTATTAACTATTCAGACCACATGTTTCACTAATATATTAGATCTGATTCCTCCATGGTATAGCATTTCCTTCCAAATAGTTCTTTGTCCCCTTGAACAGGAATACAAGTTTCTCCAGAAGAGGAATATGCTCTAGCATTTAATGATACAACTAATTATAAGTTCACCACTGGAAATTTTAGATCTTAAAGGACTAAACTAAAATAGTTATGATCCTACTTCCTCAGGGGACACAGATGCACATATTCAACAAGATAAGCATGAATTTCTGTAACCATGTTCACTCTTCTGTTCCTCTAATCAGATTAAAGTTTCACTTACAGTAGCCCAGAAGAAAAGCAAACTGTATTAAAAGAATGCTCAAAATGTCTAGTTTATTAGTATATTCATACTCCTCTCCTGATGTTCTGATCTGAGAACAGCCAATCCAGTAGTTTCATACAAGTGAGTTCCATTTAGCAGTCCTGCAGGACTATTGGCTACTACTAGCTTCTAGGAAATTTACACATGAGACCGATACTCTCTTACGAAATGTACCTTACTACTCATCTTTGCCCTCAGAAGATAATATGCACACAAACTGATGTACCACAGCTGTATCTCAGGCAAAGGCTAAGAACTGTCTGATTCATTATCCAAAGAACAGAAAAGTTTTTTTTTTTTATCTATTAATGCATATATCTACAATGATACCCACTAATCCATGAAGAACCCACAAGTCAGACTCCCAGGTAGTGATGAGCAATAATGTGAGGGTGATTTGTGGTGTGTATCACTTTCACCTTTCCCTGGTGCCCCTACTACAGTGTCTCCCAAGAAAATAGCCAGGAGCTTTTAAGTTATTCCTTGTGTAATGAAATGTCAGTAAGAAATATGAAGCATGTATTTTCTATTACTGCTATGGTTACCCTAGTTCAAAAGCTGTAAGGTTTCTTTGGATCTGGTTATTCTTCAATTGGCTATTCTCAATAGGAATGCATCAGTATTATCTCTCAACTGTACTCTTTTTCCCTAAGAGACCCACAGAGTTGGCAGGAACGTTCTGTTGTAATACAGGTTTGACTCGCTTGTAGCATATACTGGGGGGGTTTTGCTACGAATAATTGTTACTGTATCTTCTACAGATTGTGGTACAGTGTCACAAAATGGAAACACTTTAGTTAAATTAGTCTAGTTCTGTATTTGGTAATATACAAAGACTTCCTAACTTTTTAGATTTATCCTTTCTTCTTAATGGATATCATACTGGGAAACACAGTCCCAAGGGTGTGGATTTTTTTGTTTCACAAAATAATAATTTGATCAAAATAGCCTGTAACCAGTCCTGGCAGTTTTGACTTTCTTTCCTCAAATACTTTCTTGAGATTAAAAAAAAAGAAAGAAAAAGGAAAATAAAAACAACAAAGAAGATAATGAAATTATGCTGTGTGGATTAGCTTAGTTAAAACTGGATTTATATTAATTACTTTAGAACCAGATAAAAGCACACTTAGAGCATGCTGTTCTTAGGTTAGGCTGAGAATATCTGCACTGAAGCTTGTATCTGTAGAGCTATTACTGGTTCAAATTTACCAACCCTTCCTGAGAAAACCCTGGGAAACATATGATTCAGACACAATGAAATTGTCCGTTGGAGGAGGAGAAGCTGAGACTAGCCCCTGTGAAAGTGAATACAGAGATCAAGAAGATGATGGACAAAGAGAAAGTCCAAAGGGGTCCCAGAAACTGCTCAAGCATGTAGCTGGAATTTTGATGGTGGAACAGGTGCACTACAGTCCTTTGGGATAGGTACAGGAGAGCTGCACATACTCTTTCTCTCTACCTTTTACTTAATTCCTGTCTGAAAGGCTTGCTGCTAAAAGGAATTGATTATGCCCTCACTGCATTAGATTCTGTCATAGAAAATACACACAAGTTGTCTTAACAGTTATAAACACCTAAACCTAATCTGAATCATCCCTCATGTGCTTTGAGACTATGTATTCTACAAAGCACTTAAAATATGTACACTTAGTCAGTGATCACACTGATCCAAACAGTAATATCTACCAGTGCACTTTCCAGCTCTGCACTGTTGTGGAAAGCTGTATGTAGACGCTGAGAGACACACAGTCATACCCACTTGCAGTCTTGTGGGGCAAGAATTCAACCTGCATACATGCTTGTTTTCTTCTGAAAGCCATCCATCTCTTTGCTGGCAGTGTCACAATTTTAACAGTTATTTCTTGAAACCTGTCAGAATTAACATCACCGACTGCCTGACAAGCCCAAAGTTTCAAGACAGTCCTTCAAAAAAAGAATATTCTTAACACTCTGGCTTGTTGCCTGTTTTTCAGCATGAAAAACTACAAAAAAGTTTTAAAAATACCCTAACAGAGAATAAAGCCTGGTCATTTCCCTTGGGAAACTTCAGAACATCTGAAAACGAAAGGACAAGCTGTTTTGCATGCATTCCATTGGTGCCAAATACAAGAGAGAGAAAGGGATCCTCTAAAGAATAATAACCATGAGTTTCATGTGCTCAACTACCATGCTAATTAAAAAAAAAAAAATAAAAGAAGCTTTCATAGCAGAGGATTGGGTCTCATAATGACAACTCTTCCTGGGATTTCAAGTGCCCTTAAGTGAGCAAAAGGCCAAAACTCTCCTGAATCTCCTGTCCTTGGTTTTGGCCACAGTATCTGGTATATGTGTAATATTAGACATGTCCACAGTCAGAACACCACATGGTGCCCCACTGTCAAGGCAAATGATTCAAAATGAGTTGTAACATCTGTGACATCATGCAATTCCATCACTTTCACAAAACACTCCTAGAAAAATGGCTGGCTGGTACCATTCCACCTAACTGTGATACCCTCTGAAAATTGAAGTAGGAGTCAATGATCTTCCTTCCATACATTTAGGCATTCTGGCCAATTAACATCAGGCCAATCTCCTTTCTCACTAGGGATTAGTTACAAGCCCAGTAAGTCACTGAGGAATTGCTTTGGTATCTGTCCATCTGTGACCTGAATAGTGTGCCAGAGGCTATAAATGCATGATTATCTTTCTCTGCAAAGTAGGTCACTTAAGGAAAATTAATCCGAAAAGCTTCAGTCACCACATTTAGCCAGTTGGAGAAGGCTGGCGAAGGGAAGCGGGGGATAAGCACACATTGATGAGCTCCATTCAGAATGAAGTTATTTTGAGAAACGCTTTCATGAAACAAAGAAACAAAAGCACTTCAAATAATGTTTCTGCTTTTTGAATCATTATTGCTTATTTGCTGTTCACTTAGTTGAATGGAGAACCAACACTGTGAAACATGGCTTAAGGTTTATTTCAGTTTTTTATCAATAAAATGTGAAAAAATCTACTTTATTAATATTTAGGGGTCTTAATATTGCATTCATTGCATAAAATTGATTAGTTTAAAATTTATTCTATAGCATAGTCATGGTTTCAAGAAACTACTGTTATTCGAGAGCAGGTAAATTATTTTCTTCAGGTGTCACTGCAATCTGCTCTGCAGGTGTGGGGTGAGCAATCCTGTCTTGGGACAGCAGATGCAAAGAGGAATTTAGCCAAGTAAGAATGGAGTACTTTCAACAGAAAATGTGGATTCTGGTATAATAACGAAATCCATGAGACTTTACAAATATCAACAGAGCACAGTCCTGGAAGCAGCTGCCTAGATCATA